TTGGACCGAATTTATCGGTCTCCATTGGCAAATTGGCTCCATCACGGATACCTCGATATTGCCTGTGTTCTTACTTATATAGTGATGATTGATACCGGCTAGCAGTGGAATCCAGAGTGAGCATTTCGTCCTATTCAGGACTCATCACAGCTGGACGTATACAGGCAATATCGAGGCATCCGCGTAGAAGCCTTTATGCCGATGCAAGCCGATCAATTCGGTTCAATCAACGACGGTATAATACAAACAATAACACTAAAACTATACCCGTCGAGCAAGAAGTGGCTATCGTGGCTTGATGGTCTAGTGAGTAACGCTCTGTCATTTGAAGCGATTCCTGCCGAGCTCGAATCCCGGTGGAACAATATCACTCATTAGGACGCAGGCACATCCGGCTGACGAGTCCCCAAATAGGACGAAATGCTAGCTACTATCCATCATTACTATATAGCTCATGTTTCCTGATAATGCTGCTTTAATTACATCCTTGAATGTTCATTCTGTTCAGTTGTATCTTATTCACCATTTAGTATCCGTGGATATTATTATCTTTCACAGTCCATGATGATGTTGTAATTTCTTTCGTTCCCTAATGGTATATTTTACCTTGAACATTTTTTTATCTTATGTCTTTACCTCATTGTGAGAACTTACACGCATCCTTTATATTCCCCTTCTGGTAACTTGAACACACAGCTTTGTCGTTTATTACTGTTAACGTACTTCTTTGTAAAGTGCTTTGATAGCAATCAACCCGTAGATACCTGAAGAATCCAGGTTTGTATTTTATTAATAAATATTGATTTTTAATATAGAATGAACGGTATTTCAAACAAATCTATGTTTGGGATTTTACATGTTATTCAAGCGTTTGGTCTATATTGTTGACTGGTCACTTGTTCGTTAGGATTCCCAATTACTTGGGGAGAAATTCACACCAACATTTATTGATTACGTATATCAGTATATTCGGTAAAGGTTTGGATTTCGTGACCAAAAACACATACACATAATGTAAGAAAAAACTTTTTTTAATTTTACTAAGATTATACTTAATTTAAGAACCAGAGTTATTTGTCTTGAAATTTTATGACAATCTGATTCATTAGTTAGATTTTAGGCGTGTACAGATGAAAGTGTAGATTATCAGAACAGGTAGGGCAAGGCAGAGAAGACGGGACTTCCTTCAGGTGAACGTACAGAAGACAGAGGTGATGAAGATACCCAACCAACAACCACAAGCACTAATCACCATCAACGTGAGGAATATAAAGGAAGTTGTGTCTCACATACCTAGGCAGCAACCTCTCAACTACAGGTGGCACAGATCATATATTAAAGCCAGGATCGGAAGACAGTGACACAGGCCTTTCTGCCTTAATCTATGGAGATCTACTGCACTGCACTCCGCTCCACTGCCCTCAGCATAAAGTGTGAACAAGATGCGGATTTTCCACACTAATTCAGTCAAGTCAGTCCTTCCATGTGATGGTTGAGAGACTTGGAGCATTATGAAAAGCATTTACAACAAACTGTAGACATACATCAACAGCTGCCGTCTACACTCGATACTAAAAACCAGATGGCGAGAAAGAATCAGCAACAAGAAACTCTGGCTGTCAACGAACTAACCAAGACACAGACTGAGAACACTGATTGGGGACACCATGCATGAGGCAAGGCCAGACCGTTGAGTGGAAGCCAAATGGGAAACGACGAGGTGAAGTTGACATGGAGGAGATGGTGTGAAGAAGAAATGAAAGCTTTTGGGAAGTCATGGAGCCAGCTTGAGAAGACTGGAAGAAGAGAATGAAATGGTGATGTGCTACTGAAGCCCCTATGTTCCTATGTTCCACAAGGGACCTAAAGGATAAATAGTAATAGTATTGATAATAATAAAACATGAGATAGCAGAAATCACAGTAGCTCAGTATATTGTCAGTAAAACTAAGTCAATATTCCGGCCTGGTTTTATATGGGTCAAAGGAAATGTATCAGAAGTTCTACCCGTGAACATTTAATCGATTCCAACCATTTAGCCGACCCAAACAAGGATTTCAAGGTGATCTATCGAATTCACCCTACCATTTCACGTCTCCTGCTTGTTCAACTTTTAAAAACAACAGAGTTCTTGGCTATCCATGAACTGAAGACTGACCTTTGTGTGCAAAAGAAGTACGTACAGTCTTTGTCTCTACCTAGGCCTTAATTTATTTTAGTCTTGGTGGGCTTCATCCTTTTTCTTCTCGTTTTTCACCACCTCCCCCCATTGTTTGTATCAGATTAATCTTTGTACTCTTATATCATCATTATCACTCTGTTTTTTGTATTCATTTGTTTCCGCTATTATTTCATTTGATCTTCCTAATTATCACAACTCTTAACAAAACATTTTTAATTTACTCCAATCAACCTGTTGTCTCATTCACATTACCTAATCACTTTTGATTGTTTATTAACGTTCTCACCCCTCCCCCCGCTTTTAATCAATACGCACTTTATAAACGATTTGAAAGTCTTACGTAACCCCTTTTTGTTACCATTCGACCTTTACGTCATCAACTATCAACATTGTAATCATTATTATTGTTTCAACCCCTCATTATTTCAGTTAAATCTTCCTCAGGGATTACAGTCTTTAAACATCATATATATGGTTAACGCGTTCGCCGTGGAACCTGAAGGTCCTGAGTTCGACCCCTAGGCGGGTCGTTGGTGCGTACTGCTGAGCAGTCCCATACTAGTTGGACGAAACAGCTGTCCAGTGCTCCCAGATTTTCAATGGTCCCCCAACTGATGTCATTCCATGATGAATACTACTTCTAAATTAATGAAATCCTCATTCATCTCAAGACAAGACAGTAAAACTGTTGAAATGAATATGAGTAAATGATAGGATTTTACAGTCGTAAAGAAAAAGTCTCTTGTCAGTTGTAACAATTACTATATTTCTACCTCTGTGTTGAATGTAAAGTGACTGGTAAGAGTTTGACCAATTTAAAATCAAACAACCAAGTCATATTCTGATTTATAATGTTGTTCCTCAGTTGGAATAATCTTCATGGATGATTTAAAGTTTTTTTGGGATCAATTTGAATAAATTAATCAACTACTCTACTATAGAGCTGTCTATTCACTTTCAAAACTGTATGCATACATGAAGATGTACATTGATGGAGCACTAGAGAGCTATCATACTGTCTAGTTCTGAGTACTGACTGAATTCCATATATCATATTTTCAATATGACCACCAAGGCAAGAAGAGCCACTATCACGGTATACTTGGATGGATATTAGTTGATTGGAGGTAATCAACTGGAAGTCTTGCTTTCTCTAAGTTTCGTATTTATTGTCACTCGTCACCAAGGAACTGATGTATATTTGCCTATTAAAAAAGGAATAACACAGTTTACAGCTTTCTGATATTTCTTGCCTTCAGTTGATTGTCTACATGCTGTATTGTCACTTACACCATACTTCACATAGTTACATTTCAGTAATGTAGTGTAGGTCAAAGATTCATCACAGGAATACTATCACACTTGTGAATAAAATCCATTTGTGTAAATCAAATGGAAATCCACTCAGGAACCTTGTGCATATTTGTGCAATAGGCGATTCATCATCATCATCAATATCAACATCGGACCAGGCATTACCACGTAACGCTCCCAGTTGCCACACCTCATATCACTACATCAAGTAAAAAGGCAGTGAGGTGAAGGATGAAGATAAGAGAATGCAGTCAAAAGAAATATAAAGTATTCAAAGAGAGAGAGAGAGAGAAAGGAAGAATGAGAAAGTGGTGAGATTCTGTATGGTGTCTTTAAGATGAAGATAATGTGTGTCTGTGTATACATCTGCACCACTGACATCGGTTCTCAGCCATATCACATAGAGTCTCCAACCACTCGTTCCGCTTGTCCCCCCCACGGACACCAACCACCTAGTCTGCATCGACCAACATCGCTCAAACCAACAGTCAAACACTTCATACATTGGCGCCAAGATTTAGTCTGGTCACCTCCAGCCCTTTTCCAGCATCCACCTATTTCGGCCAACATTGTGTGATGAGGCAATTGGTGACTAGGCATATGTAACACATGTCCCAACCATTTCAGTCGATGAAGGTTCACAACCTCGTCAACTGACTTACCTCTTCTCCCTCCCTAAAACTCTACACCTGACTTCTGCATTACTCACGTGGTGACACCACAGAATACAGCCTATACCGCGAAGACAACGATGGTCAAATACCTGAAGCCTTCTCATATCTTCCACTTTCAATGGTCATGTTTCACAGCCATACAGTAGAACAGACAGGACTGCTGTGCAGTACACGCGACCCTTAATAGACAAACGGATATCACGGCTGCACCATATGTGGCTTAAATTGGCAAAAGCCAATCGAGCCTTTTGTATTCGTGCAGAGATTTCATCGGCAACTGTTCCACCATGGCTGATCCTACTTCCAAGGTAAGTGAAGTGGTCAACACACTCAACCACTTCACTCTCTATTGTTAGCCGTGTTACCGCTGAAGACCAGTCCTGGAGCAAAAATTTGCATTCGGGTGATGAGAACCGCATCCCAAACATTCTCAAACTGACACTCAAAGTGTTCAGAAGACTCTGCATCTTGTCAGCATCTTCACCTAACATGATTATGTCATATGCATAATAGGTGATTAACCACACCTATTATATATGAGGATTAATGACACTACCTAGTCACGCAAACGCGAGATCCCTTGGTTCAAACTCAACTCCCCTAAGCCAACGAAGCATAACTCTACCTCTTATATGCACGAAAAGTGATACTCTTTATCAAAACCCGACTTCATTTACTCTCGTCTAGTATTTCAGGAGGGAGTTGCAGACTGATATTAGATCATACCATAATGTAATAAACAGGCAAACAAATTCATTTACGCTTTAGATTACATTACAGGTAAAGATCAAAATTAATGAGATACATTTCTTGTATATTGACAAGCTAACCTGTTTAGTAGTCAATGATTTCGTCATAATCGCAGATGATTCTTCAGCTTGGATATTTTTAATTAACTCTTTCTTCAATTTCTTCTCTTCTTCAAATTTCTTATAAGCTTCATCATGTAACAGTTTCTTTTCTTTAACAATTTCACTAACTGAAAATAAAAAAGTACATTCAGAAGTTGTATGACTGCAAAAGAGATTGCAACTTAGGACTTTCAGGCATCTTGTCGAATACGTTATTGACAAACTACGAAATTCATTCATAAATTAGTACGACCTATATGTAATGAATACAATCGTCGAGTATTTACCCTGACATTCGACATCACGACATTTCATAACCGCTTCGAGAAATTTCATCTCCAAGTAAGTCACAAATGAGCCTTTGTTGTGATGCCCCAATTTTTGTATAAAACATTATTATTGATCTGAACATTTTAACGTGTCATTCACACACCATTTCTTTTACCACATGACTAATAGTCCATTTCCCACCCCCATCCTGATGTAAATCGCTGATTGGTTAATCTTTACTCTTACCATGCAGATGTCTCAAATTGAGGACAAGGTCATTTTCATGTGTGTACATAGTCACGTGTTACAGGATTCGTTATTATATTATATTCTCGAAGTAATACACTCTCCCATCTGCCAGCTTCGTTCTTCTCTGTATTATCGTCCCAGGGTTGTGGTCAGTGTCTCTTGCATACTGTGTTAGCTGTCAGCTAAGCGTGCGTATTATATTCGTTCCTCAATATATATATAACTATTAGCGTACGAAAATATAACAGCCCTCGACTGTAGCTCACTGGTAACGTGCTCGTCATAAAACCTGAATGTATCTGGTTCAATCCCTGGTAGGGTTATGAGTGTGCACCACTTCGGAGTCCCATACCAGAATGAAGCAGCTGTCCAGTACTCTCAAACTGTCAATAGTTCGAAAGAAGCATTCTTTTCTATAAAGATTACCTCGTTAAAAAGTTTACATGTTTATATTTTTGTCTATGGACAGCCCTAGGAGTCTTTCATCGCTGAGGACTGTCCTGAGGAAATGAAAAATATCGTAAAGCCAGTAGATTTCTTTTGAAAATTGTCAGCGACCAGTTATAAACGTTTTTCAGTTGCCTGACAAATATAAGTTGTCTACAGACTTGTCTTTTTTTAATGTTCCATAAAGGGAAATAATCGACCCTTTTTCCAACTCCACAGTGAATTAGATAACTGCACATCAGCTATTGAATACACAGACAGAGGGAGATAAATCGATAAGTGGTAGCTTCAGCAACTGTAGTCATATTCAACACTAGAAAGATAAAATTAAACGATTCCTGATTTTACAGTAATCAACAGATCTTAAAACTGATACGCTACAGTTATGTGATTATTATGGTAATTTACTGGATTGTGGCTAGCAAAGGAATCCGAGAAGCGCATTTCGCCCTGTTTCGGGACTCATCAGTTCATTGCACCTCCACCCCAGTGTGGAGTGATGTTGTTATCACTGAGACTTGAACCTCAAACGAATCGATTCAAATGCCAAAACGACATCCACTAGGCAAGTGAGGCACGATAGCGACCTAGGATGCATCATCATCATCACCATCTATCAACATTGGACCAGGCATTACCACGTAACGTCGTTGAGATGAGGCTAGTGTGTGTATACATCTACGACACTGACAATGGTTGTCAGCCATATCACATAGAGTCTCCAACCACTCGTTCCGCTTGTCCCCCCCACGGACACCAACCATCTAGTCTGCATCGACCAACATCGCTCAAACCAACAGTCAAACACTTCATACATTGGTGCCAAGATTTAGTCTGGTCACCTCCAGCCCTTTTCCAGCATCCACCTATTTCGGCCAACATTGTGTGATGAGGCAATTGGTGACTAGGCATATGTAACACATGTCCTAACCATTTCAGTCGATGAAGGTTCACAACCTCGTCAACTGACTTACCTCTTCTCCCTCCCTAAAACTCTACACCTGACTTCTGAGTTACTCACGTGGTGACACCACAGAATACGGCCTATACTGCGAAGACAACGATGGTCAAATACCTGAAGCCTTCTCATATCTTCCACTTTCAATGGCCATGTTTCACAGCCATACAGTAGAACAGACCAGACTGCTGTGCAGTACACGCGACCCTTAATAGACAAACGGATATCACGGCTGCACCATATGTGGCTTAAATTGGCAAAAGCCAATCGAGCCTTTTGTATTCGTGCAGAGATTTCATCGGCAACTGTTCCACCATGGCTGATCCTACTTCCAAGGTAAGTGAAGTGGTCAACACACTCAACCACTTCACTCTCTATTGTTAGCCGTGTTACCGCTGAAGACCAGTCCTGGAGCAAAAATTTGCATTCGGGTGATGAGAACCGCATCCCAAACATTCTCAAACTGACACTCAAAGTGTTCAGAAGACTCTGCATCTTGTCAGCATCTTCACCTAACATGATTATGTCATATGCATAATAGGTGATTAACCACACCTATTTATATGAGGATTAATGACACTACCTAGTCACGCAAACGCGAGATCCCTTGGTTCAAACTCAACTCCCCTAAGCCAACGAAGCATAACTCTACCTCTTATATGCACGAAAAGTGATACTCTTTATCAAAACCCGACTTCATTTACTCTCGTCTAGTATTTCAGGAGGGAGTTGCAGACTGATATTAGATCATACCATAATGTAATAAACAGGCAAACAAATTCATTTACGCTTTAGATTACATTACAGGTAAAGATCAAAATTAATGAGATACATTTCTTGTATATTGACAAGCTAACCTGTTTAGTAGTCAATGATTTCGTCATAATCGCAGATGATTCTTCAGCTTGGATATTTTTAATTAACTCTTTCTTCAATTTCTTCTCTTCTTCAAATTTCTTATAAGCTTCATCATGTAACAGTTTATTTTCTTTAACAATTTCACTAGCTGAAAATAAAAAAAGTACATTCAGAAGTTGTATGACTGCAAAAGAGATTGCAACTTAGGGCTTTCAGGCATCTTGTCGAATACGTTATTGACAAACTACGAAATTCATTCATAAATTAGTACGACCTATATGTAATGAATACAATCGTCGAGTATTTACCCTGACATTCGACATCACGACATTTCATAACCGCTTCGAGAAATTTTCATCTCCAAGTAAGTCACAAATGAGCCTTTGTTGTGATGCCCCAATTTTTGTATAAAACATTGTTATTGATCTGAACATTTTAACGTGTCATTCACACACCATTTCTTTTACCACATGACTAATAGTCCATTTCCCACCCCCATCCTGATGTAAATCGCTGATTGGTTAATCTTTACTCTTACCATGCAGATGTCTCAAATTGAGGACAAGGTCATTTTCATGTGTGTACATAGTCACGTGTTACAGGATTGGTTATTATATTATATTCTCAAAGTAATACACTCTCCCATCTGCCAGCTTCGTTCTTCTCTGTATTATCGTCCCAGGGTTGTGGTCAGTGTCTCTTGCATACTGTGTTAGCTGTCAGCTAAGCGTGCGTATTATATTCGTTCCTCAATATATGTATAACTATTAGCGTACGAAAATATAACAGCCCTCGACTGTAGCTCACTGGTAACGTGCTCGTCATGAAACCTGAATGTATCTGGTTCAATCCCTGGTAGGGTTATGAGTGTGCACCACTTCGGAGTCCCATACCAGAATGAAGCAGCTGTCCAGTACTCTCAAACTGTCAATAGTTCGAAAGAAGCATTCTTTCTGATAAAGATTACCTCGTTAAAAAGTTTACATGTTTATATTTTTGTCTATGGACAGCCCTAGGAGTCTTTCATCGCTGAGGACTGTCCTGAGGAAATGAAAAATATCGTAAAGCCAGTAGATTTCTTTTGAAAATTGTCAGCGACCAGTTATAAACGTTTTTCAGTTGCCTGACAAATATAAGTTGTCTACAGACTTGTCTTTTTTTAATGTTCCATAAAGGGAAATAATCGACCCTTTTTCCAACTCCACAGTGAATTAGATAACTGCACATCAGCTATTGAATACACAGACAGAGGGAGATAAATCGATATGTGGTAGCTTCAGCAACTGTAGTCATATTCAACACTAGAAAGATAAAATTAAACGATTCCTGGTTTTACAGTAATCAACAGATCTTAAAACTGATACGCTACAGTTATGTGTTTATTATGGTGATTTACTGGATTGTGGCTAGCAAAGGAATCCGAGAAGCGCATTTCGCCCTGTTTCGGGACTCATCAGTTCATTGCACCTCCACTCCAGTGTGGAGTGATATTGTTATCACTGAGACTTGAACCTCAAACGAATCGATTCAAATGCCAAAACGACATTCACTAGGCAAGTTAGGCACGATAGCGACCTAGGATGCATCATCATCATCACCATCTATCAACATTGGACCAGGCATTACCACGTAACGTCGTTGAGATGAGGCTAGTGTGTGTATACATCTACGACACTGACAATGGTTGTCAGCCATATCACATAGAGTCTCCAACCACTCGTTCCACTTGTCCCCCCACTGGACACCAACCACTAGTCTGCATCGACCAACATCGCTCAAACCAATAGTCAAACACTTCATACATTGGCGCCAAGATTTAGTCTGGTCACCTCCAGCCCTTTTCCAGCATCCACCTATTTCGGCCAACATTGTGTGATGAGGCAATTGGTGACTAGGCATATGTAACACATGTCCCAACCATTTCAGTCGATGAAGGTTCACAACCTCGTCAACTGACTTACCTCTTCTCCCTCCCTAAAACTCTACACCTGACTTCTGCATTACTCACGTGGTGACACCACAGAATACAGCCTATACCGCGAAGACAACGATGGTCAAATACCTGAAGCCTTCTCATATCTTCCACTTTCAATGGTCATGTTTCACAGCCATACAGTAGAACAGACAGGACTGCTGTGCAGTACACGCGACCCTTAATAGACAAACGGATATCACGGCTGCACCATATGTGGCTTAAATTGGCAAAAGCCAATCGAGCCTTTTGTATTCGTGCAGAGATTTCATCGGCAACTGTTCCACCATGGCTGATCCTACTTCCAAAGTAAGTGAAGTGGTCAACACACTCAACCACTTCACTCTCTATTGTTAGCCGTGTTACCGCTGAAGACCAGTCCTGGAGCAAAAATTTGCATTCGGGTGATGAGAACCGCATCCCAAACATTCTCAAACTGACACTCAAAGTGTTCAGAAGACTCTGCATCTTGTCAGCATCTTCACCTAACATGATTATGTCATATGCATAATAGGTGATTAACCACACCTATTATATATGAGGATTAATGACACTACCTAGTCAGGCAAACGCGAGATCCCTTGGTTCAAACTCAACTCCCCTAAGCCAACGAAGCATAACTCTACCTCTTATATGCACGAAAAGTGATACTCTTTATCAAAACCCGACTTCATTTACTCTCGTCTAGTATTTCAGGAGGGAGTTGCAGACTGATATTAGATCATACTATAATGTAATAAACAGGCAAACAAATTCATTTACGCTTTAGATTACATTACAGGTAAAGATCAAAATTAATGAGATACATTTCTTGTATATTGACAAGCTAACCTGTTTAGTAGTCAATGATTTCGTCATAATCGCAGATGATTCTTCAGCTTGGATATTTTTAATTAACTCTTTCTTCAATTTCTTCTCTTCTTCAAATTTCTTATAAGCTTCATCATGTAACAGTTTCTTTTCTTTAACAATTTCACTAACTGAAAATAAAAAAGTACATTCAGAAGTTGTATGACTGCAAAAGAGATTGCAACTTAGGGCTTTCAGGCATCTTGTCGAATACGTTATTGACAAACTACGAAATTCATTCATAAATTAGTACGACCTATATGTAATGAATACAATCGTCGAGTATTTACCCTGACATTCGACATCACGACATTTCATAACCGCTTCGAGAAAATTTCATCTCCAAGTAAGTCACAAATGAGCCTTTGTTGTGATGCCCCAATTTTTGTATAAAACATTGTTATTGATCTGAACATTTTAACGTGTCATTCACACACCATTTCTTTTACCACATGACTAATAGTCCATTTCCCACCCCCATCCTGATGTAAATCGCTGATTGGTTAATCTTTACTCTTACCATGCAGATGTCTCAAATTGAGGACAAGGTCATTTTCATGTGTGTACATAGTCACGTGTTACAGGATTGGTTATTATATTATATTCTCAAAGTAATACACTCTCCCATCTGCCAGCTTCGTTCTTCTCTGTATTATCGTCTCAGGGTTGTGGTCAGTGTCTCTTGCATACTGTGTTAGCTGTCAGCTAAGCGTGCGTATTATATTCGTTCCTCAATATATATATAACTATTAGCGTACGAAAATATAACAGCCCTCGACTGTAGCTCACTGGTAACGTGCTCGTCATAAAACCTGAATGTATCTGGTTCAATCCCTGGTAGGGTTATGAGTGTGCACCACTTCGGAGTCCCATACCAGAATGAAGCAGCTGTCCAGTACTCTCAAACTGTCAATAGTTCGAAAGAAGCATTCTTTTTGATAAAGATTACCTCGTTAAAAAGTTTACATGTTTATATTTTTGTCTATGGACAGCCCTAGGAGTCTTTCATCGCTGAGGACTGTCCTGAGGAAATGAAAAATATCGTAAAGCCAGTAGATTTCTTTTGAAAATTGTCAGCGACCAGTTATAAACGTTTTTCAGTTGCCTGACAAATATAAGTTGTCTACAGACTTGTCTTTTTTTTAATGTTCCATAAAGGGAAATAATCGACCCTTTTTCCAACTCCACAGTGAATTAGATAACTGCACATCAGCTATTGAATACACAGACAGAGGGAGATAAATCGATAAGTGGTAGCTTCAGCAACTGTAGTCATATTCAACACTAGAAAGATAAAATTAAACGATTCCTGGTTTTACAGTAATCAACAGATCTTAAAACTGATACGCTACAGTTATGTGTTTATTATGGTGATTTACTGGATTGTGGCTAGCAAAGGAATCCGAGAAGCGCATTTCGCCCTGTTTCGGGACTCATCAGTTCATTGCACCTCCACTCCAGTGTGGAGTGATATTGTTATCACTGAGACTTGAACCTCAAACGAATCGATTCAAATGCCAAAACGACATTCACTAGGCAAGTTAGGCACGATAGCGACCTAGGATGCATCATCATCATCACCATCTATCAACATTGGACCAGGCATTACCACGTAACGTCGTTGAGATGAGGCTAGTGTGTGTATACATCTACGACACTGACAATGGTTGTCAGCCATATCACATAGAGTCTCCAACCACTCGTTCCGCTTGTCCCCCCACGGACACCAACCATCTAGTCTGCATCGACCAACATCGCTCAAACCAACAGTCAAACACTTCATACATTGGTGACAAGATTTAGTCTGGTCACCTCCAGCCCTTTTCCAGCATCCACCTATTTCGGCCAACATTGTGTGATGAGGCAATTGGTGACTAGGCATATGTAACACATGTCCCAACCATTTCAGTCGATGAAGGTTCACAACCTCGTCAACTGACTTACCTCTTCTCCCTCCCTAAAACTCTACACCTGACTTCTGAGTTACTCATGTGGAATTTTATCTTTCTAGTGTTGAATATGACTACAGTTGCTGAAGCTACCACTTATCGATTTATCTCCCTCTGTCTGTGTATTCAATAGCTGATGTGCAGTTATCTAATTCACTGTGGAGTTGGAAAAAGGGTCGATTATTTCCCTTTATGGAACATTAAAAAAAAGACAAGTCTGTAGACAACTTATATTTGTCAGGCAACTGAAAAACGTTTATAACTGGTCGCTGACAATTTTCAAAAGAAATCTACTGGCTTTACGATATTTTTCATTTCCTCAGGACAGTCCTCAGCGATGAAAGACTCCTAGGGCTGTCCATAGACAAAAATATAAACATGTAAACTTTTTAACGAGGTAATCTTTATCAAAAAGAATGCTTCTTTCGAACTATTGACAGTTTGAGAGTACTGGACAGCTGCTTCATTCTGGTATGGGACTCCGAAGTGGTGCACACTCATAACCCTACCAGGGATTGAACCAGATACATTCAGGTTTTATGACGAGCACGTTACCAGTGAGCTACAGTCGAGGGCTGTTATATTTTCGTACGCTAATAGTTATATATATATTGAGGAACGAATATAATACGCACGCTTAGCTGACAGCTAACACAGTATGCAAGAGACACTGACCACAACCCTGAGACGATAATACAGAGAAGAACGAAGCTGGCAGATGGGAGAGTGTATTACTTTGAGAATATAATATAATAACCAATCCTGTAACACGTGACTATGTACACACATGAAAATGACCTTGTCCTCAATTTGAGACATCTGCATGATAAGAGTAAAGATTAACCAATCAGCGATTTACATCAGGATGGGGGTGGGAAATGGACTATTAGTCATGTGGTAAAAGAAATGGTGTGTGAATGACACGTTGAAATGTTCAGATCAATAATAATGTTTTATACAAAACTGAGGCCTTACAACAAAAAGGGACGAAATGCACGTGCTGGATTCTTCTGTTAGACACAAGCAATGAAATTCGTATTCAAGTTCAATTTATCATTTATGCTATAGTTATGAAAAACTTTCCTCAATATTATATGACTTGCACCTGCATAACATCTTATAAACTAACATGTATTATACTTCATCAGGTTGTATGAACATAATTGAAAGGAAAAGAGAAGAAAAATGTCTAGAAACAAACCTAATTTATGTTTTTCTTTTATCACTTTCTTTTTGGCAATTTTAGCATTTCTATGTGAAGTAGAAATCTCTTTAGCTAATTCATTGATTGTAGCCTGTTGTTGCTTCTTTTTATTCATTAATTCCATTAACTTTTGATTTTTTTCACTTTTCAGTTGATTAACATTACTACGTCGTTTACAATAAAGATTATATTTAGCAATTGATGAAGCTCCTTCATGACTTATCATTGTATTCAGACGATTATGTTCCATTTGTTTTAATTGATTCAATTTAATTTTAGCCTCTTCTTCTGTTTTCCATGCTTGATAAGCTACATCTGTAAATGCTCCTGATTCTAGTTCATAGAGTCTACAGAAAGTGTAACATAAAGTATTAAAAGTGACCTTGATTACGAATTTTAGCATTGGTGAGTTCACATGACCTTGAAAAAACAGGCAGGTTTTAGACTTGGTTGAGAGTGTATCGATGATAATTTCACTCTCCCAAAGGTTTTGAAACACAGACGTACTTTACCGACGACCAAAACTTGCCACATTTGTTGACCTCAAGGCAGCATTTGACTCTGTCGATGGTGGGATGTTGTGGCAGTGCCTGACTATGAAGGCAGTAGTAAGCAAGAATCTAACCTAAATCAAACCTCTCCTTCAAAAACCATACAGCCATGTCAGGATTTATGAAACGTTATCATGTCAACTGATGACAACTAATGCTGTCCGTCAGCAGTGTCTACTGTAACAGACGTACGTCTGACTTCATAGGTACTGATCTACATCATTGAATTCATCTGGTTGATTCGAAGTGTGAAGATGATCTTCTTCTGCTAGATGAAACCACTGACGAAATGAAAGTTTTCTAGACATATTCAGCAGGAATCTGAGTATGTTTGGCTAGCATGCATTTCACTGGCACCTGTCAAGTGTAAGATGATACTCCTGGACTATTCGTCTGCAAATACTCACAGATTAATGATAAGGAGTGAAGTGGTGGAATGTGTCGACCAATTCACTTGCTTGGGAGTTGCAATAGCTTAAATGGGTTAGTTGCTGACGAAAACTTAACTCGGATACAGAAGGCCCGTTCTACATTTACAGACTTTCACCATCTGTAGTTTCGACTAGCTAGGAAGCCGAGTATCTATCTATGTCAGGATGAGTATACTGCGCTGCAGTCGGTTCTGTCCTGTGAGATATAAACGTTGAAAAAAGAACACATGAAACGATTACAGGGTTTTGATCATTCGATTGCGCACATTTGATGGAAACATCGTGTGAGTGATGTTGAAGTCAGGCAAAGGGTACTAGGCAAGACAAACAAGTCGACTAATAAGGTTGTGAACATTCTGTCTGTTTGTTCCATTGCAACTTTTATGACCCGACATGTATAAAATCACCGATTACAAACTTAGTTCCAAATTGAAAAAACATTCCATCCGGTGAATTGATCCATAACATTTTCCATAAAATTTTGAAGCCATAACAACTTAAATGTAAAATTTACTGAAAATACGAAAAATTTCCATCAAAGTTACTGGATTACAGACCTTCATTTGAGTTTCATCTCTGTATGGCTTATTAGCATTTTCAGACCAAGCAAGACATAAATTCTGCTCATTAGCTTCTCAACTTATCGGTTTCACAGAACTAGTAAACAATAACTCTAGGAAACTCGTTTTTTCTTCAACTTTATTTTCATTTCAACTATCTGATATAGCAGCCGTGATTTGGTAGATCAGCATTGATGCTGGATGATGAGTGAAGGTGAAATGGAAATCTGGACTGCGGCCGGATTCGAACCAGTGACCACCAGGTTACATCGACCTACTGAGCTACGAAGTCGACTGTGACCATTTTGACTTGATCAGCATGGGTTTTAAATCTGGACCCTGGCCGGATTCGAACCAGTAATCGTCGGGTTTCACTTCCCCTTCAATCATCACCCAGTATCAATACAAGTCTGCTACGCCACGGTTGCTACCTCACATAGTCAAAAAGATAATCAATACGATGCTCCTTCCCTCTTATTCAGTTAGATGTAGATACGGATGAGAAGTCCTGACTAGACAATGAAGATGAATATGACACATCATGAATTCATATGGTAGTCGGGAAAGCCCATAATGATTGGAGTGAAATAAAAATGTGGTCAGCAGTTGGACCTCGTAGTTCAGTTAATAGAGCATCAGGCCAGAAACCCAGTGGTCGCTGGTTCGAATCTGGTTATGGTTCAAATTTTCATTCCACCTCCAATCACCACCCTCTATTAACTTTATTTATGTTGACAGCCAGCCTCTTTTTACAAACAAGTGACAAAATCTACAGTCTATACATTTAACCACAAATTATATACACTAATTGCGTTAGTCTAAGGCGTCTGAGATGCGAATAAATTATGAAGTCGTAAATAATAAGTTTGTAGCTCATAAGCTGTACAACTATATACTTCAGATCTCTAATAAAACTGAGTTTTTCCTTAAGTTGTTTGGGATCATGCGTGTGCATTGATGAGGAGTCCCATTACTATTATTGTTATTATTATTTTTCTCTTGGGTTCCTAATGGAACATAGGGCTTCAGTAGTACGGCTCCAGTGCACTCTGCTCTCTCGAGTCTTTTCAACCTCGCTCCACGACTGCCCACAAGCTTTCATTTCTTCCTCACACCACCTCCTTCATGTCACCCTCACGTCGGACAACCAACTCGTCGTTTTCCATCTGGATTCCACTAGACGACCTGGTCTGGTGCGTGATGTCCCCAATCGGCCTTCTCAGTGTATGCCCAATCCATCTCCACTTCCTTCCAATGCATATTTGTTGGATGATAGGTTCTTGTTTGGTTTGTTGCCAGAGTTCCTTGTTGTTTATTCTTTCTGGCCATCTGATCTTCAGTATCGAGCCAGCGTAGGCGGCAGCTGTTGATCAATGTTTGTAGTTTGTTGGAAGTACTTTTCGCAACGCGTCAAGTTAATGAACCACATAGCATTGGTGTTGAAAATCGGGATCTTGTTCTCACTTTATGCTGAGTGCAGTAGATCTCCACACTGATTTCAGATTAATGAAAGCTTGTCTTGCTGTCTTTCCGATCCTGACTGGTTTTGACATCTTCGTCTGTGCCTGCGCCGCCGCCACCTATAGTTGAAACGATGCTGCATCCCAGGTAGGTGTAGGTCAAAGAGACTACTTCCTTTAGGTTTCTCCCGTTAATGGTGATTGGTGCCTCCTGTTGTTGATGCTGTTGTTGGCTGGGTATCTTCATCACCTCCGTCTCCTCTACGTTCAATTGAAGTCCCGTCTTCGCTGCCTCTTCTGTCAACCTGTTAGTTTTCGCCTGTAGACCTTCGAGTTTGTGCGACATTAGACACAAATCATCGTCGGCGAAATCCAAATCTTCTAGACTCTTCCCATCGGTGAAACAGCGGATGCCCCCCTTCTCACAGCTCCTCACAGTTTGCTGCGTGATCCAGTCCACCACAATCAGGAATATCATGGGTGATAGTAGGCGGCAACCATGTCTTACTCCTGTCTTCACTTCAAAGGCATCACTGAGCTTTCCACTACGGATCACTTGGCACTTCATATAGCTGTTGAATGAGGTTGATGAAGACTAGTGGCACTCCGTAGTATTGAAGCAACTGCCAAATGACTTGTTGGTTGACGCAGTCGAAGGCCTTTTCAAAGTCAATAAACTTGAGGTAGAGAGTTGACTTCCATTCTATACTGTGTTGTCTGATGATGCGTAGCGTTGCAATTTGATCCGCATCCCATACTATGATGAAACAGCTATCCAGTGCTCTCAAGATTCTAATGTTCCTCCAACTAATGTCACTCTGTGATGAATAACAACTTGAAATCAATCCCTAAATTCCTATAAATACCTTAATTCAACAATAAACAGTTTGTTAAGCGTATCTACCTGCTTCAAACCCTGGTATCTTACTAAATATAATAAAAAGCCAATGATCTCATAAAATTAGTTAACTGAAATGTAAAAACGGATAAACTTGAAAGATATTCATCTAAATCGATAATATGCATAGAATTATTGATCTGTACACTATCTAGAAATCAGTTTTCTCATATAATTCATTTCATTCCTTAGTTGATTGCATAATAGTTCAAGAAGTCCAATAATTACGTTTTGAATCGTAACGTCATATAATCACATTTAGATTGGATGTTAATCTTTAGAATAATTACTGTTAATTGTAATTATCTTGCTTTTAATCTCTTAACCAACTATTTTCAATTATATAATTCATATAATATTCAATGAAATAATTTGTTTAAATCAATTTTTCAACTTATTCAATGTGTTCAACAGAAATATGAATTAATCTCACTTATTTCTTTGCTCTTTCTCTCTATCCAAATAAACTTTCCATTCATGTAGAATAGTAACAATATTTGTATTGATTACAACAGTCTTATTTAATCCAATTAGATAATTCTTTTGTTTCATTATATTTTTATTACTTTCTGAATCATTTTTACCTTCTGTAGTAAATGTACAGTTGTTAATTATCATCTGAATGAAGATCATTTTGTTGTTGTATACTATTTGTATTATTATGAATGACTTCTGTACATCTTGACCTAAGTCTATCACTTTGAATCTTCAATTTCTTAACCTATTAGTAAAATATATCGAAGAAATAAACAGTAATAAACTTACAGGATCATATATGTCAAAAGATACATCATTAAACCAGGGTATAAACTTGTTATGATTTGAAAACTCCTATGTAGTATGGCCGCTAACAATGCATGAATATCGAATGTCAACCAACTTGATCCCCTACTCTTACTAATTACTGGAGAAGATACCATGAACCTGAAGAAGTGGGTATTCGACCCCCAAAAACCGAAGATCAAAATCAAATGAAAATATATTGAATATATTTTCGAGGGAGTTGTGGAGATTTGGAAATATTTCAAGTTGTTATTCATTGTAGACTGAAATCAGTTGGAGGAATAAAGGAAACCTGGGAGCACTGGACAGCTGTTTCGGCCAACCAGTATGGGACTCCTTAGTAGTGCGCACCCATGACCCTGCCAGGGATCGAACCCGGGACACTCAGGCTCCGTGGCCTATAACATACCGATCGAGAATGAGGTTCGTGGCCGTATATACAGGATGACCTATGTTCACGTGGTTGTGTGTGTTGGCAGCAAAAACCGTCCTTACGGCTCACAGCACTACAGTCTTGGCATCGATGTTGTTTAAGTGGACACGATTTGACGAAATGCCAGAAAGGTGATGTGGGTGTCTTCTTCGGGAGTTGGTCGGCATCGCATGAGTTACTGGGCTGATGAGCAGGTGAGATAAGGCTATGAGGTATATAACCAAAGGATGA